GCGAAGCAAACGTACACGAATCCAAGATGTGTTGGCGTGGAGGTCGAAGCCAGGGCCATGTTGTGACAACCGCTCGCCTGTGCATTGAGCCCGCTGGCACTCCGGGAGGGCTGCAAAAGCGCCTGACGGCGCTTAGCAGGTCAACAGGCACGGCTAGGCAAGACCCCCTTTGACCACAAGATTTCCAGCGCTCAGACACGCCTGAACAGGCGAGAAAGAATGTTGATAAGGCAAAAGACCGATGGATCTGAACCCGTAGCGCCCGGTTTGGGAATGGCAGCCGACCAGCACGAAAGATCAGAGCCCCACAATGCACACTCTTCAAACTGCGTCCACAGCTTGGAGAGCGAGTGACTCCCACGCAGTTCGCGGCAGCGTCCTAAGTTCTTCATGCGTCCACCGTCAACGCCTGCTGCAGAGCGCGTCGAGCCATGTCGTGAGGCCCGCAAGGGTGCCACTGATTGCCACCGCCCACCATGCAATGGCTGGGCGCATGACACCGGACTACTAAACTCCGCAAGCCCTGAAAGAGTGCGAATGGCCGTCGCGGCGACTGATCGCAGTTGAGCGAAAGCAGAATCGCTGTGGGGCCACACACGGATCGACGACCAGAAGCTCAAGAGGGACGGGCGCGCTATTCCTCAGACAGATGTGCCCGTAGACTGTCCAATCCACCCCTCTGTGAGGCTTCGAGGCGCAATCGAAAACTGTCTTCAGACTGATCCTGCCTCGACCAGAGGACAGCCGTGCGATCACTAGCTTGCTGCAACTGGGACAAGATCTGCACGTAGTTTTGAGTCTGACCCCGGCGCCATGCGTCGAAGTGGTGCCGAATCAGAAGCCTGCTTGCGCACACGCGCGGCAGAAGCCACAGCGTCGCAGGATTTCTGGTGACGCATAGGAACGCGATCAAACAACGAAGCCTCTGCTTCGGTGGCAGAGTGGAGCTAATACGGATCCCAAACTTGCCTGGCGCGTTACCCAGTTGAGCCTTCAGGACTCTGAAGCAAATCATGAAAAATCACGTTTTTGGGCTCTGGTGAGGGCAGCACGGGAATACCAGCGGTCCGCAAAATTAGGCACTAACTTCTTCGGGGCAGTCCACTTTTCCTGAAGCATCCTGGTTGAACGCATGCAACGCAAGCGCAACAGGGGTGACCTCCTGCGCTGCGCGCGAAAACCTCAGTACGTTTCAACTTGGCCTCCTCAGTGCCAAACTGAAACACGTAGACTGGCAACTGCTTCAAGCGCCCGGTAGCAAGCTCTTGACAAGCCACGATTCACAACGTCCCGTCACACCGGGGACTTGAGGGCAAAGTGCTTCGAAAGGCTCAGCCGGCTTGGCTGCGTGAAACATGGCTGAAGGCGACAACAAGTCCGTAGGATTCGACAAGGCATACCCTGAAACACTTGGCTTGTGTCCTCAGCACGTGCACGTAGCAAGTCATTGTCGTCAGAGGCCTCAAATCTCCCAACGACGTCGTAAGAACCAGGCTCGATAGCAGAAGACCAAGGATTCGCACCGTTAACGATTGCAGATGGCCACCGTGCTTAGCTTCCTGAAGCTGCTGGGCTTCATCTCGGATGACCCACCAAAACTTCTTTAGGCGCGTGAAAGGATCAGGGCGAGGGCAGCCAGGTCTCGTTGCTCAACCGCTCTGCAAAGAACACTCTTCTGAAGAAGCAAGTTGCGTTCGCAACTAGTGTTGCCGTGCCATACGTCGTGTGAGCATCGCGATTGCAAACCGCAAAAGAAATCACACGACACTCCGGCATAAAAAGGGCAAGAGCCGGCAAATCCAAGCGCGCTGGGAAGACAACAAAAGTAACAAACTTGCCGTTTGGTTTGAGTTGCTTTCTGTTCAGACTGCTATTTCTCGAAACCCAAGATGTCATCAGCCCAAGGTATCTTGGCTGCTGCCATTTTGCAGAACAACACATACTTGTGTCATCTTGCCGTTTGTGACATTTTGCGTTGTGCTCTAGATACCTTGTGGGTAGCTTAGCTGTCTCTCATCTAGTGTGTTCCTTGTACTTTAAGGTACTAAACCAAGGGTTCCAGACTTCAGGTCGACCCCGGTAAGCGCTTTTTCCGAGTTGAAGACAAACCCTGGCTGTCTAAATCCACGCTGACTGAGTTTTTTAAGGGAGGCAGAGGTTTACCTTTGGTGTGTTTTCTAAGTTCTAAGCCTACCTCTTCAGGCAGCTCACGGGCAGCCTTCCCCCCCCCCCCCCCACCCACGCCACGCCACCCTCTCCTAAAGCTTCAGCGGTTTTTAAATTCCACTTAAGCCCCAACAGCAGAAGAAGGTTGAATATCGGGGAGGGGATTAGCTTGGTTGCGGAATAAGGGAAGCATGCAAACAAGGGTGGCGTGTGTTTAACAACCGAGTCTGAAAGGGAACCGAGCCCCTCAGTAAGTGAAGAAGGCATCCTCGTTGGGCTGGGAGGAGCTCAATCCCAAAACCCCAAACCAAGAGCCCTAAACCTCAATCTTTGAAAACATCCCCTTAAAAGCTCCATAGACGGCCGAAATCCTGTGAACAAACCCTTTAAGCCCTATGAACCCCAAACCCTAAACGCCGCAAAAGCCCTTAACACCTAAGAGCCCAAAGTACGAGTTGGAATCCAAAACGCCCAAAGCACTTGAAACCTGAAAAGCTCCTCAAAAATCTGCTGCCGGAAGGATTGGTTAGTTCAAAAAAATGAGGCAAAAGGACACCGCTGGGCTACCAAGAACTCAAGCCCTAAACCCCACAAAACCAAACACCCTTGAAACCCCTCAACATCTGATTCATACCCCAAGCCCCCACCCCCCCTTAACATCCCCAAAAACACCCTTCCCCTCCCACCCCTCAAACCCCAAACCCTAAACCCGGAATCCTAAACCCTAAGCCCGAAATCCTAAACCCTCCCCCCCTCCCCCAAACATCTGCTACTGCTACCGGAAGGCAAACCCAGGTTGAGGCCCCCGTCCACGACCACAGAGTTCGCCGGCAGCTTCGCCAGGTCTCCGTAGCAGCGTTCGCGGAGAATCTCCCTGTAGATGAACTGCACCTCCGCTGCTTTCTTCGGGCGGTTGCTTTTTTTGAAGCGGCTTCAGTGTGTTTAGGGCCTTTTGAACATGGGTTTCATGGTTTTCTCTCGTTTTAGGGCAAACTTAAAGAGAATGGCGCCGATGAGGGGTTGGGGTTTCGGGGTCGAAAGGAATCTGTCTTGCCGCATGAAGGATGTCCCAGCATTTGGGGGATCATTTTGGGCTTGCAGCTTCTCTAAAGCCTCCCTGCCCTAAACCGGGGAGCGCGTACCTCCCCCCCCCCTCCGCCTGCCTCGCCGGCGCTTCGCCCGAAGACTTCCAGGGCAGCATCCGGATCCTGGAGGGCGGAGACAAGAAAAGGGGTTTAGGGTTTGGGGTTTGGGGTATGGGGTTTGGGGTTTAGGAATCCAAGAATCCCAAACCCACCCTCCGACCAGAAAGGGGGTTTATGGCTTGGGGTGTGGGGTTCAGGGTTTCGTTTAGGGTTTTTGGGTTTATTGGAGTTTATAGGGTTTACAGAGTTTACGGTGAAAACAAGAAACCTCGATTGCTAAGGGAGCCTACAACCACCCCCCCCTACCCCCAAGAAAATAGCAAACAAGGAGAGGCCAAGCTTTAGACATGAACCTCCCGCAGCCAAAAACCCTGAAATTTCCCTAGCAAGCCCACCCCCCCCCCCCCCCCCCCCCCCAAACCCTAAATCCTCAAACCAATCCTCAAACCCCCCAAGAGCCCCATACCCTAACCCCCCCCCCCCCAAAGACCCCCACCCTAAACCCTAAACCCTAAACCCTAAACCCTATAAACCCTAAACCCTATGAACCCTAAACCCACAGAAACAAGGGGCGCCTCCTCGAGGAAGGCGCAGATTGGCCGGGCCGGGCGCAGGCAGCTTCCTTGGGGGGCGCCGCTTTCTTGCGGGGCGCGGGACGGCGCCGCCGCGGCCTCCGGGCTTGTTTTGTATAGGGTTGAGGGAGTTTGGGGGAGTTTGGGGGAGTTTAGGGTGGGTTTAGGGAGTTTAGGGAGCTTAGGGTGGGTTTAGGGAGTTTAGGAAGTTTAGGGAGTGTAGGGAGTTTAGGAAGCGTCGGGTGTTAGGGCCTTTTTTGAAAAGCAAGGGAAGAAACTTAAGCTTCAGTATTCTTGCAGTCCTACAAAAGCAGGAAGCGCAAGAAGTTGAAAGTCCATCGATTGGCGAAGTGTAAGTTTAGGAGGCTAGGGCTTCCGGCAGTTTAGGGTTCAGGGTTCAGGGCCCATGCCACAACTCCCCAAGAAGCCCCTTCCTTCATGATGAGGGAATTAGTAGGGGGGGGGAGGTGTAGGGTTCAAGGGATGGACCAGGAGGAGTTTCTAGCAGCCCTCTCAACTGTTGTTTTGTTTGGGTTCCCAGACAAGCTCTGGAGCCGACGGAGCCCCTTACATTTGATCTACTTAGGGGGGCGCCCCCAGGAAGAGGCGGAGAGCTGCCCAGAGAGCTTTGCCACACGCCGAAGACTTGATAAAGGAGGGCTAGGGGTTTGAAGGCCTTAAGAGTCCAGAAGGTGCAGGGGTTGGGAGCCCTTAGGCAAGAAAGGAAAAACTCTCCGTGATAAGGTAAACCCTAAACCCTAAACCCTAAACCCGTCATATTCCAGACGGTTACAACACTGTACTCGGGCCCAGTCGCCATGGCCAAGATCTCTTGAACTGCCGCATCGGTGCCGGCCTGCAGATTTTTGCCCTCTCCCCCTTAAGTTCGAGGGTTTTGGGTTTAGGGTTTAGGGTTTAGGGCAGGTTTTTGCTAGGTTCCCCCGCCCCCTCCCCGTTTAGTTCGAGGGTTTAGGGTTCAGGGGGGAGAAACGAAACTGGCACTCTGCCCGTTTAGTTAGAGGGTTTGGGGGGGAGAAACGAAACTCACTCTGGGACACGTTTTCTCATCTCTGGCTCGTTTTGTTCGCTGGCCCTTCGCTGCAGCCGTCATCTCCGTCTACTTCTTGGCCAGTGCCCAGATCCAGGTCATGGACCCCTCCATTGAAGGTGGGGACAACTCTCCTGGGAAGACCCTCTTAAACCCAAGAAGGAAAAAAGCGTAAACCCAACAAGGGCAACTAACATCCTCTTAAACCCAATAAAGGGAAGATAGAAAATCTCCCAAGGGCCTACCGAGTCTCCCACCTCCAAGCAGGACAGCTTGGCGGCCGCGAGTTCATCACGGAGCTGTGCCTCAGACATGCCGTCCTCGTAGCCCAGCTCGGTGGTTCCTAAGAGACCCGCAACACGTGCTGAAACCTATTCATGGCCCTCTTGTTGCCTGCTTTCTTCCTTCTGGATGGACAGTTTGAAAGACATCGAAAAAGGGAATATGGAGGTGGTCAAATCAAGCACCTCAAACTTCTGTGGTCTTGGCATCATAGAAAAGAACTCTCAGCCGGGCTGCGGCTTCTGCCTCTCACTGGAGCGTCCTCTTTGCCTCAAGGGGCGTGCCAGGCGCTTTGAAAGCACAACCGAAACATGTCAGCCAAGCTATGGAAAACCCGGAAGCGAATCTTGGGATGGACAAGCTGATCCGCTTTCAGGCTCCAACCGGGCCTTTGAAGACCATGTGCAGCTGGTAGCTGCCTGGCTTGCTCAAGTCGGCGAGCTTCGCCAAGGTCTTCGGGAGGTCGGGCGTGAAGGTCAAGACGGAGCCGCTGATGATGAGATCCAAGGAGTCGGGGCTGAAGGGGCCTGACTTCTCCAATAACCACGGGGGAAAAAAAGGGTTAAACTTTTTGTTCCTACTCGACAAGGAAGCCCCAAAAGCTTAACGTTCAGCTCTTGGAGAAGTAAGGGGCATTCCACCAGGACATCGCAGCAATGAGCCTCACTTGTGGATGGCAAGCTCTCAGCCTTATTGCCTACGACTCCAGTTTCCTGGAGAACAAAAGGGACGACCCCGCTAAAGTACGAGAATCCCTTACATCGGCATTCTTGAGAAACGTGGTCTCGCTTGCTCGGTTCTAACGAAACGGCCCCTCAGCACTAGCGCAAGAAACATAGAGCAAGGAAGAAAGGTTGTGGAACGGCTGTAGTTTGCTAAGGAACAACACAACTTAACTTACTACTATTGCCCTTAGAGGGCATTGTGTATATATATATATATAGAGAAATATTCATGTATGTATATATATATATATCTAATCTGTATATTTGTTGTTCTTTTCATATTTTTGGTGGGGTTCTTAATCAAATAGCCGTTTAGCTTTGCTCCCCAAGAGCCAAGAGGCCGTGACGTTTTTGAAGCCTTTGGAGTCGATCTTCTTCTTCGCTTCCTCTAGGGGATAGGATTAGGGTTTAGGGTTTAGGGTTTAGGGTTTAGGGTTTAGGGTTTAGGGTTTAGGGTTTAGGGTTTAGGGTTTAGGATCCTCGATCATCTTCGGCGCCACATCCACCAGCGCCACGCTTGCCTAGACCCAGGAGTAAGCTAGGAATAACAAAGTCAAAGGGCACCCTTTTGGGTTTTCAGGGGACTAGAAGGGAACCCTAAACCCTAAAAGAAGGAAAAAGAAGGAAATAAGGGCCAACTCCGGGTCCTAGTAGCCCTAAACCCTAAACCCTAAACCCTAAACCCTTAAACAAAAAGGAAACAAGGGCCCACTCTCCGGGTCCCAGTTGCGGACTCCGGCGCCAAGGCCAAGCCCAGGACACCGTGCCCGGCCCCGAACTCCATGACGCTCTTTCCGCTCAGGTCTCCAACCTGCTGCGGTTTAGGGTTTAGGGTTTAGGGTTTAGGGTTTAGGGTTCAGGGTTTAGGGTTTAGGGTTCACGGTTCAGGGTTTAGGGCCTAGGGCTCAGGGTTTGGGGGGAGAGGGAAAACGGACCGTCGCAATCAGATTCACAGAACATGACAACGCAAACCGTAGTGTTTCCAACTTCTGATGCTGAAACCGCAAGATCCCCCATCAGTTTACTCCTGTCTTGAGCCGTGACCCAAAATGGCCCAGCATCGCACCTTGGAGCGTACGACTTCCTCCGCGAGCTGGTTGAATTCCAGGACACACTTGCCCATCTCGCCGGTCGTCCAACCCTCGGCATACTCGTCCCACTCTTTGGCAACCTCCTCGGTGCTCTTCGCCATCCCAACACGCAAACGCGGGGCCCCAAACAGGCCCGGCAACCCTGACTGGAACGACGCCTCAGCGAAGTTTTCAACTTTAGATACAGGTGCTTCGTGGCAATAAGATAGTCATGCAGATATTGCCAGTTCTCATGCTGTTCAGCAATGGGTCGCTACTAGATCGTATGCACTCAAGGAACTATTGTGGACCTATCAATTCTCTGTCCTTGTGTTTCCTCAGTGTCCTCCTCAATTTTCTGAGCCTTGCCTGTATAGCTGGTCTGCGGCGATGCACAAGTTTGATGCCGAAATCGAGCTTAGAATGAACATGCCATTCTTCATGTTCTAGGTTTCCTCCAGCTGATCCCCTGGCTTAAGTAAGGAAGAGCCCTTAATTCACAAGGGCCTTTTGGGAATTCTTTGGGATTCCCCTGTGGAAACACCATTGGAACTCTAAGTGAAGTAGGGAACACATTCTTAGGTGTATATAGGGTTCCTTATAAGTATTGTGGGTATTGAAATGCAAGGCCTACTTCATGTATGGTGCTGCATCTTCCTCCATTTAAACGCTTCGGACCCCAATATCCTTTCGCTCTAGAGCTCTGTGAACAAAACGCCCAAAAATCTCTGAAACCCTAAAACCCTAAAACAAAAAAAAGGGAGGCCGCAAAACAGCCCAGGAGTAGAAATGAGCGAGGAGCTTCGGGGTTGGATCCTGCTTCGCCTCTTGGGGGGGGGGGGGGGGAATTTGAGGTGCCCGTTTAAGCCGCCGAGAAGGGAACAAAAAACTCTCCGAGGGCGAAGGAATGGAGCAAAGGCCCCCAGGGTTTAGGGTTTAGGGTCTAGGGTTTAGGGTGTGGCATATCGACCATAGAGAAACAAACGAAGCTCCTCCTTGCCCCGCCTGCGTGGCGACCTCTTCTCCGATGCGGCGGACGTTTGCGCGTACCTGGAGCCCGAGCACATGGCGACAGCTGGAAGTGCTCACGGGCACTTTCAAGTGGAACTTCGGGTTTTGAGGGTCTAAGGCTGAAGTGGCCGACCCCCGGTTCTTCAGCTTACTGAAGAAGTCCCCACCAAGCTCCCAGTAGGTGCCAATGGATCCTCAGAAGAATCTCCCAGACATACTTGGAGGTAGCCGTGAGGGTGTTCTAAGAAAGGTAGCCTTTTTCTAGAGCCCTATTTAGGGTACTTGACACCCCAGGTATACCCTCCAAGTCAACTCCGACGTAAAATTCGAGACTGCAAAGTACAAGGAAAATACAAGAAGAGAGGCTCCCTAGCTCCCTAGGGGGGCCACAACTTGAACGAGCCCCCCCCCCCCCCCAACCCCCAACCCCAAGTCCTTCCTTCCGTGCAAGGGGCTTTGGGTTCAAGCACTCCTTAAAAACCCAGACGCCTGAACCCCATGAACTTCGAGCGAAACCCCTAAACCCTAAACCCTAAACCCGACATAAACCCATCCCACGCCTTTGAAAACCTAAGCCCATGAACCTTTTGAACCCCATGAACTCTGAGCTTTATTACCCTCCCATGACCCCCTTCAACTCTAAACCCGAAGCCCCGTGAAACTTTCAACCCCTTAAGCTCTGAACCCTCAACCCCTCAACCCTGTATCTGAGTAGGGCCAGTCAAAACCTCCCCCCCAAGAATCGAAGGCCCAAACAATTATATGGAAAATTTGGGGTCTCCCCCTTTTTATTGGGAAAGGTTTTGGGACCCTAAACCCTAAACCCTAAACCCTAACCCCTAACCCCTAAACCCTAAACCCTAAACCCTAAATGAGCCCCGAAAGCCCACCCCCCTACGCCCCTCATGCCTCATCCCGAAGTAGCCGCTGCAGCTTCCGCGCCAAGGCGACCTGAGCCAAGAAGGGTTTAGGGTTTAAGGTTTAGGGTTTAGGGTAAAGCTGCCCTCCCGGCCCAGGCGAACTAAAGAGGGCTTGTAGAGTTCAAAGCCTCGCAGCCAAGTGCTCGCATTCAAGAATGTTTTCGGTTTGTTTGGGGGCCTTGGATGCATGCAAGGTTGCTTCCTTGCTTGTTTGTTTTTCAATTTCTTAAGGGGTGTGCTTGTTTTTGAGAGGGGGGAGAGGATGAAGTGCTGACCTAGATCCTGCACCCCACACGCTAAACGGGAAGTTGTTGGTTGGGGAGGGGGGAGATCGTTCTGCATGAGGGTCGTCCTTCGCCCCCCCCCCCCCCAACTCGATGAGACCTGCTATGGCACAAATGGCCAGCAAAGACATCTGATGCCTCTTCAACCAAACTTGATGGCGAGAGGATCAAACCAGAAACAAACAAACATACATGAAGAGGCCAATAAGTCAATGCCATGTTACAGAATGGCGCGTGTCACCACCGTGTGCTGGCACGCTCCCCTACAGATCAAATTCCGCATGCAAATAGTCCCGAACCTCCTCCTCGGTATCTCGTGCTCCACGCTCTTGAGTCCCCTCAGCCTAGTTGCTTGTAACAAACACCCGGACCTCTTGCTTGCCTAGCGGCCTAGCCTTATGCCTATACCCCCCTACCCAGCACTGCTGCCGCCCCCCCCCCCCCTCCCTCGCCCCCTCAAAAAACAAATATGGAACCCACGGCGGACTATCCACGCACAGACGCTTTGTAGTTTTAATGTTTTGGCCCAGGGCGCAACGGAAAGCTGCTCGAGGTCGGCGGAATCTCCCACATTGAGGTCCTGCGGCGAGGCTCGCAGTTGGGGCTCGCTTCCGCGCACGGTCCTGAACCTGAAGCCCCAACCCTAAACCCTAAACCCTAAACATCTCTCCCCCCCCCCCCCCCCCCCCCCCCCGAGTTCCCGAAAACAAAAGGACAAAAAGGGAAGTGCTGAAATTGGGCACGGAAACCTGGTCAGATACCTCGAATGAATGGCACCCTGGGGCCTCATCCTTGGTGTTGCGTACCAGCTCACCCTAAACCCTAAACCCTAAACCCTAAACCCTAAACCCTAGAAGCCCTTAAAACCCTGAAGACCCCTCGAGGCCTCCAAGGAAAAAGGGGGACGGAGACCGTAAGCCGGCATCGAAAAGAGGAAGTACATAATCTGATTGAGGGTTGAGGCTTCAGGGTTTAGGGTTTAGGGATTCGGGTCTAAATTCTAAGAATCTTCAAGAACTCCCCAAAAACTCCTAAAGCTGTTAAACAAGCCCACGGCTGTTGGGCTAAGCCGATGGCCCCTTGCCAGCCTGAGCCATGAACGTTGGGGGCTCAACAACCTATGCAACCCCAAACTCGAAACCCTAAACCCTAAACCTTACACCCGACACCCTAAACCCTAACCCTAAACCCTTAACCCTAAACCCGAAACCCTAAACCCTAAACCCTAAACCCGAAAGCACGCGGTCTCTGAGTCTCTCCGAAAGGGGGGGGCCTTCACGCAGCTCGCCCAAAAGGGCTGGTCGTAGGCAAGGGGGATCACGAGCTGCGGCACCTGGGGCGGAAGCCAGCTAAAACATCCTTAGGAGAACGGCTATGTATCGGCTATATATATATATATATATATATATATATATACACATTCTGTTTTTTCAAAGCGCACAGGAGGCCCTATGCTCTAAGCCCTAAACCCTGAACCCTAAACCTTAACCCCTAAACCCCTGGGTTCTTAGGGAAGAGAAACTTTGCTAGCCCTGGGCTCCGTGAGACGTCAACTGTTGCGGATTCACATTTATGTCTAGGATGCCATAATATATACATGGGTGGTTGTCAAAATTGTGGTCCCGTTTGGGGTCCCCAATATAATACGGCACCTAATATTTAGGGTACCACAATCATAATTTTGAAAACCACCCACATGCAAACATACAAGCATTAAAACATAAACAAATATATGTATATATACACGTATGAAGATATGTAACAAATACATAATAATGAATTATAGGAACAATAAACCTAACGAGCAACAAAAAGGATAACACTCATACTGCCAATAGCAAGAGAAATGATCATTATGTTGCTGATAATCAATGGCTTTGCGGCAGGGCGGACGGTGGTCCGGCAGAGGCGGTTCTTTCCCTACTTGACATACTTCTTCCTCAAACATTTTCGTACTTCAGTTTTTCACTGGCCTCCAAACATTTATTAGCCAACAAAAGTTCGCCAAAAACCGGACTAGCTGCTGGGATCCAAGAACAGAGCTTGCGAATATGGATAACTTGGAAAACCTAAAGTCCTCAATGCCATAGACTCCTAGAACGGCTCAATTTCAAACGGTAAAAAGGTACTCGTTGCAGGGTTCGCCTAAGAATCGTATAAAAGGGGAAACCCTAAACTCTAAACCCTAAACGGCCCTAAGCCCTAAACCCTATATAGGTCTCATACAGAAAAGCAAGGCCAGGCGTGCGGCCTGCGCTTGCAGCGCCGCGAGCACCGTGCCGATACCGCCGTGATGGATGGCGGCGGCGCACCTCGGCAGCAAAGGAATATGTATAGATAACAATATATGTGCATATATGTATATGAATATATACGTATATATATATATATATAGATATAGTTTTTTCAAATCTAGGGTTTAGAGTTGAACAGGTTAGAACCTGGCCTAAGCCTAAAAGGGGAAGGACCAGGCACAACCAAAAGAAGGGTTCAGGGACCCTCAAAGCCCTCAACCCTGCGTGCAAGCCGCACCTCATGCGGCCTTTTTTTACTTGAGCCAAAAATGGTCAGAAGGTAAGTCATCCTAGTCTGCACAACATGACTATACATGCTTTACAATAGAGGAAGGAAGCTCGTGATTCTTCAACTCCCCCCTTCATGTTTGCAGAACTTTCAGTCGCCAAGCTCATTACAGCTCGATTACGGACTTTAGGAAGACTGCAGCTGCAAGCTCAGCTCAGCAGCTAAACCTACTGTCGATTGTGGCGCGGGCTCAGCCATGCGCAGTTGAATCCGGTATCTCAGGTGATCAGGCTGAAACACAGACTCAATGAACCTTTAAGGTAATTCTACCTGCAATCTATACAAAACTACTCTCAACCGGTGCAGGACTGTGCTCAGGCGAAG